CTCGTCTTAATCCCTCTACCTTTTTCACTTTATTTTACAGTAGAATTTTAATCAATCTCCTCTGTCTGGGTAGCAATCAGTGGCGTGGCGTGAATTGCGATGTGTCGATTGTTACGCCATTTACATCTATGGCAAAAAATCGATTATTAAGGTGTTCGCTGCGAACACCCTGTTCATCGATCCTTTTCCATAGTTTTTAATGGCCTAACAATCGATATATCGCAACTCACGCCACGCCACTGGTAGCAATCGACAGTGTGTACAGTGTGTAACGAACGTTTCTCGCAAAAATGAAAAGGCATAACGTACTTTCGTTCCCCATCCGCAACTCCATTTAAAGAAGATTGGTCAAGATTCCAACTAAAACGGTACAAACTTTGCTTGTCTGTCAGCGTATTAGTCTTCGATGGAATGAACGATATAGTCCATGGATTATACAGTAACACGTTTACTTTGACTCTGTTATTCCAGAATGCATCAATTCGTCGTCCGATTAAGATATTCAATATTCCGGCCCTTGCAACTGCCCTACTTTCTTCGAGTGCTCAGAGACCGCAATCATGCCAACCGACCCACTGCTTGTAGAAATAAAAATTTCAGTATCGATTACTAAACAATCTTTTCGAGCGATAACTTCCTTTTGACGTCTCCTTGCTTCAACCCTTTCACCCGCAAAGTGGGGGGAGGGGGGTGTCTTTGTCGCGTAGCGTGGCTGTGACAAGCACTCTTGACACATTTCCTTTTTCTACGGGCTTCTGACGACGCAGCTGACGACTGGAATCAATTTGAATTGTCAATACGTAAATGATGGTTCTTTTTGGAACTGGGTTGCAAAATTTCAATGCCTCATTATTTGATTACTTCTAACAGGACGTCATGGAGCTAACATGGTCCAGCAGAGGGTGCAATTTGAAAGAACATGCTCCTTCAACTTTCTTCAACCGTTCTTCCAAAAGTTTTCTTTTGCGAACCGTTATTTTCACCCCTTCCCCTCTCTCCCCTTGAGGACAACAATCTACTGGCTAAAATGGTTCCATTTCAGGGATAATCAATTATGCATATTAACAATTCAGGTAATCAGGAAGTCTAGGGTTCGATTCCCGGCCAGGCCACCTGAGTTTGATGGTCTCAAATGATGGTTGCCTGAGGTTGGTTAATGAGTAGGGAGTGCGAGGGATGAGGCTATACCTGAACAGCGCAGGATTATCAGCTCGGGGGTATTTAAAGAAAAAAAAAACGAAAAAAATAACATTACTCATACCATACTTGTCTATACTACACTACACTACTACTATTACAATACTACACCGTCAACTGAAAACTTTCTGCAGATCTAATCTCTGTAGGATGAGAATAACAAATCAAGCTGGAATTGATAAAATATATTTTAAAAAAAACCATGTGGATACACCGACGCACAGTGGATCGTGTCAATCAGAGAGGTCGGACATGTAATTTTTGAAGTATAATTCGACACATTATAAATTTTAAGGAGTGTTTCTATAAGGACATTTTACGAGGAAGCCAATATGACCACTTTAATAATTTCAAATTGCCGCATGAACGGAGTTATGAGCTTTTAAGGTTTCCAAATCTTGTCCGACCTCTCCAATTGACTCGATCCAGTGTGCGACGTTTGGTGGGATTTAAAAATATTGATAGTTACGCTCCAAGAAATTTTTCCGATATTACTTCTCAAGGATTTACAAGCGGAATTGATTCGGCAACATTGGTAGAAAAAGAGAGAATGACATGAATGCACCAGGATGGATAATGAGTCAATGAGTGGACAAGCAAATGAGATGTGTGGTAATCACGTGGCTGGGGCCGGCACCGATGGACGGATGGCTGATGGCCGGTGCAGTAGATTTGGGCCAGCGATAGAGAGCACTGTCAACGCAAATGTTCTCCCTTTTTCTCGTCTTACGATTAGACTTACCTGACCCAACCTCACCCCTCGCTTTCCAGTGTCGACGGACCCTCAATTGCCCATCCGTGTTAATAACTCGACGGCACACCGCAAAAAAACTAAAATAATTACATGGAGACACGCTGATATAAATGGTGACTTTGTCACGAGTAACTATACGCAAGGCCGGATTTAGGGGGCGGTCACATGGGCCGCGGCCCATGGCGGCAAATTAAGGGGGCGGTAAATTTTGCAATTTTCTTAAATGTATGTATATAAAAAAATTGGATTCAGAAAAACAATTACAAACGAAAAAAGGCGACAAAAGTTCTCATTTCCTAAGAGTATAGTAATTTCTAATTATGCAGTCTTCCGGTGATACAAGAGACAGCACCTTTAATTAGTCGAGTTAAGAGAGGAACCAAACAAGTAATTTGGCCTGGAACGGCGTGGCACAGAGAGCAATGATGACGAGGGCTTGAAATGGAAAGGAGAAACCCTCGGCGCAGCGGTCGGCACGTAACAGCACACGTTTTTGGTTTCAGTTGTATATAAAGGCATGCAGGAATCGCGTTTATTGCTTTTTTCTGGATTGATGCAAAATGAAGTGCCTTAAGGTAGTAGAATAAATGAGGGGTTTGGAGGACGAAGGTAATTTTTTTTTTAAAAGGTAATTTTACTAAATTTTAGTGCAGTTTTTGCTATATCAAGAAATACGTGTTTGAAGTTGCATGGATTCTTATAGCGGAAAGAAAGCTCAAACTAAATTTTTGATGCTTAAAAATTGGAATTTGGGAGCGGAGTTTTCGCAGATTATGCACTACGACTAGTTTTCCTTTAAATCAGTAATATCTCAATTTTTTTCAAAAACTGCACTAATGCGCCTTGTCCTCCAAGCCCCTCAAATATAAAATAGTTAACTGGTGTTGAAGTGTCAGCTCTTGGTTGTTGCGGTTCATCAATCTTGGCTCACCAACAGCAGGGAGTCAGATCACCGAAGACTGAACTCACCTCATCGCGATGGTTGCTGCACCCCACCGACATGATGAATCATGCTTTAATTCAGTTTTGAAGATTTTAAATATTTGCAGTATCCATCGCTGCCGCATTCTCTCCAGCCAGAATCACACGCTGGACATGGGCGGGAGTCATCGGTCCGTTGACGGGTGGTGCCCTGAGTGTTGCACGTGACACGCGAAATTCAGGGCACTGATGAGGATCGGGACTCAGCAGTTATTAGTTCGTCTGAACTATTTGAATAAGTTTAATACAAATGTGGATGAAAAAGACCTGAAATTACGAAAATTCAAGTGTTGAGCAACGACATTCAGCTGCCAATTTCAGCGTGTGATTCCGGCATCAAGCATTAAGATCTAACCATCTAGTATTAAGAAAATGGATTGCATTTTGCAGAAAAGAACCAAGGACATTCCAATGTTGCTGGGATTGTGGAACTTACAATCCTTGCAATAAAATTACCGAAACTTTGCACACAGTAAAGGCAAAAGTAATTTTTGTATTGAATTTATAGTTTATTGGGAGTGAAGATAAAACTTGTTTAGACGATCACTTTGTATTTGCAAGGTAAAAAAAGTTGCACAATCTTGGCTACGTTAGAATGTTTGTGGTTTCTTTCTCAAAATGCAATGAAAATATACCTCTTTGTGAGAGCCTCAAAAAATTTCGCCTCCGTGAGGGCAGAATTAAGTCATAAAGGAACCAAACGTTTTAAAATAAGGGTTCAGGGATCCACGCCTTATTTAGTTGCAAAAGGTCCTCGTGTGGAAACAACATGGTAATCGATTAAAAAATTGAGCTACAATCCAAAAATAAATTAAACAAGTTTATTTCCAACTACATTTAGACGAGAAATGATATAAAGCTCGGCTTGCAGCTCGATTTTTTAATCAATTACCATGTTCTATGCAGCGTAGCCAACCAACTTTGGCCCTAAAATGTATGCGAAAACAACGTTACTACAACTCGTGCAGAGTGCACTAACTGTGCCGAAAGAAGTGCTATCGAATTTTGAAAAAAAAAACCCTAATTCATTTTTTGTCTATTGCTCGAAACAATTAATCAATGGCTTATGCCGATATAAAATATGACTGGTGCAATGTTATTTCTATTTTGCAATGATGGTCCCGGACCAGACATAGACAGGTGTCCGTCTATTGGACTCGCCAAGCGGCAAGGTGCCAACACTGATCAGTCGAGGAAGAACGGAACATTTGATGAATGACCTAAATGGTCGTATTTCTGCCAAACGGATTTATGTGCATTATGGCATGAGCTTTGTTTTGCATGTATTTTTATGGGTCTCAGGGCTCATGTCTTAATGCACATAGTTCCGTTTGGCAGAAATACGTCCAAATGTAGCTCTGTCGTAGGTCCAGAGTAGGGGTCGCTTTGATTGATAAGTGCGACGGATAACGTGTTGGGAACCACTGGTCTTGGAGCCGGCATCGGCTCAGCAAGCCGTCACATTCTGAAGAGTGATCGAGCGCCTTGCTTCATGTTTAAAGTGCGAGCAAGCTAACGGTGCAGGTTGCAATACAAAGAATTAATCGCTAATTATTCGTCGCTCCTCACATCCATCGAACTCTGCATTGCCATCCTCGTGGAAGCGCTCCGCAGCACTCTTTCATGCCTTCCTTCCTCGGCATGGAGCTAGAGGTGAAGCTTAGGCACCAAATTTCGTGCAGATGTGACCTATGCACGGTGTTCCGTGTTCGTTTTGCCGTCACTATTCAGTTCGTCGACCCGAAATTTTCAAACGAAACAAAACGGGTCAGTTGCGTTGGTCACAGAATCGTGTTTTGATGCTTGATCCTTGCAGATAAGCTAAAAATAATAAGATTTGTCCAAACAGCAACTTTCTGCGTTCAATGTTAACCGACTTATCACTGTTTGAAAAGTCGGGCTTTCGACGTCATCCACATCGATTGTGACACCCTTGATTTCTTACCCTTTGCTTTCACCTGAGTTTTAACCTATAGCCTTTGAAAACTAATCTCAAAATCTGTAATGAACACAATATCGTCCGGACATTAAATTACATATATGAAATGGAGTTTTTGTTTTGTTTCAGCGTGGGTTCTCGGGTGGTACATGTGTAAGGTCGTTCCGTACGTTCAAGGAGTTTCTGTCGCTGCCTCTGTTTACAGCCTCATAGCTGTCTCGATAGATCGGTGAGTATCCCGATCATTTTTATTCCATTGGTCGTAAATTAACATACTCTCAGCCTCTTGTTTCACCACCGATCAGTTGGTGTTAGGAACAGAAAGGAAAATATGATATGCATTCAATACATGAATACCTGAGCATTTTCGACTGCTAAATCATAAAACGACGATGATCTCGCGCTGTTGTGCACAGGTTTTCTAGAAAATTGAATACTCTCTAAAAAAGCACGATTGTTAGCGAAAAATCGAACTTTTCCGGTAAATCAGAGGTCAAAAATTGCGGAATCAGCACTATAATTTCTCCTAGAATCAGGCTCTACACTTTCGGCAGATTGGCCCGTGTTGATCGGTGAACTTCGTCACTGTAATTTTTTATCGAATATTTCAAGTGAAGATTATGATCTTCCACTAAAATTGCGGGAAATTCAAAAGTTCCGGGAAAATTCAGGAAAATCTCTAAAGTTCCGGAAAATGGGAGCATTGTAAGATAGAGTCCCTTTATACCCAGAGTTAAGACAACTCGATTATCAGCTGACTGGCAGCCGGCCTTGGCTGGCCATGGAGGCCGAAACGAGTGCACCCTAACGAACGATATTGAGGGATAAGGATCAGGAATCCTGCGATGTCTGTCACACAAAAACAACATCAACTAATTGATCAATTAAAAAGAAAATGAGATTGGTTTGTGAATAATTTCTTAATCTATTTTCATTTTGGACCGATGGAAATAACAATTTACTCTTGATAAACCACAATTAGGTAATATTGTCATTATTCTTGTTCACATTCGAGGTACCGTCATCTTGGTGCACTCGTTTCGGCCTCCATACGCGAGAACCAATCAGAATTGGATTTTTTTTTAGGCCACTTCCAGCCCAACCAAAAGTGAGTTGTCTTAACTCTGGGTATAAAGGGACTCTACTGTAAGAAAAATACCCACTGTGAAGTCAACCTTTGTCAGAGACTCGTGGTGGTAGTAGAGGGGTGGGGAGGAGGATTGGTCCGTTCTTGTGCGTTTTATGGATTAATCAGAATCTACATTACGGCGAGGGGAGGGAGAGGGGTAAAGGGCAAGGCTTTTGATCACTCCCCGGAGATGACTCAATCTCGTTTTGGATTTGCCGTGCCCCACGGCTTCTGTTTCCTCTCCCCCGCCCGAAAAGGCTCATTATCAATCATAATCAACCGGAATTTCCGCCAAGACGGAAATATCCCAGTGCTCGCCCTCGCCCCCTCCATCCCTGCACTTCCGCCCCACTTCCGGCCTAGCCCCCCCTCCCTCTCACTGCACCGGCAGCTCACCAGCTGCCGCAGATAAGCTCTAATTTTAATAATCAATTGAAGGGAGTTCAGGCATTTTTTCGATTTACATCGTGCTCACTTTGTTTCGTGGACGACTTTGAGTTACATTCGGTTTACGCACATAAGGGATATTTGTACCAAAGGTAAACGTGTTCTCTCAAAATTTTAACAGGAAGTGCCTAAATATAAAAGTGCAAGCACAATAGGTGTATAGAATTCCTTACTCGTGGGATTGAATTGATCGATGAAAGTAACTCCTCTAAACCCCGCAGAAACATGTTTCGGTTATAAAACCGGGTCAAACATGGTGTTATATTTCAACCGAATACTTTCCAGGGAGGGATTTCTCAGACTTGGCTGTACTAAATTCTGATGAATATTCTTAGGAGGGTTGTTTGAAAACACATATACCGAAATAAAGAAAAACTTGAGAAGAAACATTTACTCGATTGTTGTCAGCGCCTTACGAAGGATTTCATGCGTGAACTTTAGGATGCATTCATCTAGATACTTCATTATTGATTTGTTTTTTTTTTGACTCAGTCCACTGATGCTCCAATCCGATGATCCTAAAGGAATCAGTACTGTGAAACATATTTTCTACAAGCTTCGGACCCTACCGCACTGTGCTCTAAATCAACCGAAAGTTGATTCGGATTTCTGACTGAACTTTTTTCTAAAACTTTGAAGCGAAAAAAGTACAAGTACGTTGACATGTACGTTCAAAATTGTACTGAAAAGACCATGAGTAGGTAAACGACTCTGCCGCTATCGTCGTTCTTAGATCAGGAAGAGTAGGTGCCGCAGCTTACTTTTCAGGACGGCAATGTTGTTATACATATATGAAAACAATCAAAGCATTATTCGGAAAGCTGACAACGTCGCAATAAAAATTAGTGAAAGTTTTCTTCATCGGCAAAATAGACAACGCTGGAAAAAAGTTACGTCGTAAAAGAAACAATTAAGCTTCAGTTAGGGTCGCATGCGACGGATACTGACCGAATTTCATTATAGCGCCTTGATGCAACTATTCGAGCTCGATGGATGTCCGTGTTGCATACGCACGAAAAGAAGGCGTTTTGACTTCCAGGCACTCACCACTTCTCCCGCTGAGTGGGGCGACGCGGTGTCAACGGCGGGCTATACCGCGAGGATTCAAGATAGCAGAGCGCTTTCAATTATTCGTTTATATTACAAAGATATCTTGCCTGTGGTGCCAACAAAGTAAACCATTACCAATTTTTATCCCGACATTGTCAATCATCCGAGAAATGCACTATTTAAATGTATCACGATATTATCGACCCTTGAAATCGCAATAAGTTAAGTATCTGAGCAAAATTTTTAGAGTCTTCTCCGACCTACTTTAATGAGTCGTCCTTTGTTTGGATTTTTCCCCCTTTGTGAAAAATAATTTTTAAGTTTAAGGGCAGAATTTTCCTGATGAAGCGCACGGGCTTTGGAACAAAACCGATGACCATTGGTCCTTCGAAAGAATGGAATGTAACAGGAGTTCTGTGACATCACAAGTCTAAATATGCGGAAATGAGTTTCTAGGCGCAATGGTGAATCAACATCACAATACTCTCTTAAATATTTTGGTAAAATTATATTATGTTCGCCTGCTTCCCTCTCGGAATTTGGGTTGCGTATAGCCTTTCATTACCAAGCCGCCAATCCGAGGCTTCGATTCTGGTTGTTAGGCTCCAGTTCCGATATGGGTTGCTCGATGATCATTTGCATAGTGCACGCAGTGGTACGACGGCAGTATACAGGGGTAAATAGAATTCACGCGACGCCACGTTTGATCACTTTATGAGCATTGATTTTCCATGCAGTGTATAGATTCAGACAGGAAGCGGCTCGAAATACATGTTTTGCAGACAGCACATAGAGGCAACTTTCAATGAAATTACTTTTTTTGAGCAACCACCAGATTTTTTTCAACAGATCATTTTGATAGTATACGGATAAAACACATTTATACCCATGTTTAAATTAAACACGTCAAAAATCGTACTACGTGGTAATCGATAAATATATATAATTTGTATTCTTTTCGAAAGAAATACATACCGACCCGATACTATTAAACGCATCTTTCTAGAAGCAATTCTATAGGCAGAAGCTCAATACATTTTCTTCTTTCCCTTTTTTCCTGGCAATTATTTCCAGCAAAGCTTTAAAGATATACTTGAATATCATATAAGTAATAAAGAAAAAGGGCAAACAGTAATTACCGTCGAGGTAATTGAAAGATCTTAGCACTAATATTGTTTTTTTAAATATAAAATTAACTCACTAATATTTGTGGACGTTTATCACTTACCGCAAGCTGTGGTGTACTGCCGTGCTAAGAAAGAACGCCGTATGAACACTCGAGAGCTGCCAAATCTCCTTCTATAAAATGTTTATTTTTGAGGAATGTGATGAATATTTTTTCTTGACATTTTCAGGAAGTTTGGGTGAAGTAGCGAACAACATCATCCGAAAAATTCCAAGAAAAATATTGACAATTTTCCCAGGTAATTCGGGTTTTCTTTGGGGAAATACGGCAACGTCTGAGGGTTTATACGGTGTTTTTCCTTAGCACGGCAGTGTAGGTATTATGTTATACGAGCGTGAGAATTTCTTCATTTTTAAAAAAATATTTTTCAAGAGCTGCAATTTTGAGCTGGACGATGAACTGTTCAGTCGTTTTTCCTTCTATCGAGGGCGAGTCACCCTTACCTCAACTGGAATTTTCATGAGAATCGTGTATTGCCGTGCTAAGGAAAAACGCCGTATGAACCTTCAGGCGTTGCCAAATTTTCTTTGATAAAGCACGAATTCCCTAGTAAAACTTACGAACATTATTCTTCAAATTGTTCAGAGAATTTTGTTAGTATTTTGATCTAAAGTTCCTAAAATGTTCAAGGAAAAATAATCATAACCTCCCTCAATAATAAACTATTTATTGAAAGAAATTTGGCAACTCTTGAATGCTCATACGGCGTTCTTCCTTAGCACGGCAGTGTAGACGTGAGAATCGGCAAGACCGGGCTCAACACGAATACTCAATATTCGAGGCACATTCCTCGCTTACCTCTGTTGGATGTTCGAGTTTTGCGCAAGATTGATTTTCCCCTTATTTCGTGTTTTCGTCCGAACGGAAAATGAACCGTTTCCGCAGTATGAAAATGTCACCCTGGCTCGTCTTTTTGCATACGGACACATCAACGTTCGGACATTTACGTACCCTTACATATTCCGCGCTGTTTTTTACGACCATTCCTTCGGGAAATCGTCCTCTCAAACAACAGTCAAGTCGATTCTTTATTTATCATTTATGCGTCTCATAAAATTGGCAGCCGTCTTTACGTAGGTGCAGTTGAGAAAAAAATATTCTTGTAAATGAAAAACGGCCATATTTTAAAATAAATCAATCTAATAGTTATAGTGGCATCTACTTTTTGCCTTCATAAAGTCGACGAAATCTTGAATTATAAACGACTAGATCTCGAGAGTTAAATCCTACATGTTAGCGACAAAATGCGTATTCCCTCGCAAACGCCAAGTATAATTCTTCAATATATCATCATTTATGTTTTTTGATAGATTGAGTATTTTAGGAATATACTTTGAACGGAAGTTTCAGGAGTGTTCGTTGTTTTTCAGCGATAGGAAAAATTCTTGCAACAGGAACCAGTTTTCAAGAGGGGAAAACTTTTTTGAGGCTGTATCTCTGCCGTGCTAAGTATAAACGCCGTATAAGCATTCGCATGCAGCCAAATTCCTTCTTAGAAAATTTGTATTTTTGAAGTAAGGTATGAGTAATTTTCCATGAACTTTTCAAAATTTTCAGCTGAAATTACGAAAAAAATCCCGTGAAAAATGGGAAGAGAAATATTTAAACATTTTCCTGAAAATTCGTGATTTGTTGAAGGTAATTTCGCATCGCCTGATGGCTCATAAGGCGCTCTGACTTAGCATGGAGGATATACCCTTCGATAAATCTCGTTGTTGTTTAATTCGTCATCAGGCTTATCTTTATTTAAACGAGCCCTCTGATCATGATGATCATGTGCCTTTTAATTTAATTTTAGCATGATCAGAAAATGATCTTGTATACTGTTACTATTTTCCTCCCTCCGGAAAGTAGTGAACGAAGTAAAATAAGAGTAGGCAATCGTTACTTTTTGAAATTCTTTAGAGGTATCTTTGACTGACATGGACTCAACTTGCAGAATATTATTAGTTGAAAAATAAATTATCGTTGGCTTAGCTTAAAGTAAGAGTGATTTACTGCATACAAGATTACCTAATTAGTTTCGTGGAATGTAATAAGTATGAGAAAATACCCGTGGTAACGCTTAAACAAATGGATATGTTGCCCTCCATAGAGGCTCACTAAATTCTCTTGATGATGATGAGAAAATGTGACGTGTTAATTAATCGCTGCAACTATAGAGAGCGATTTTCGTGTAGATGATAAATTTATACAAGCTTTGCGTAACCCGTGTATTTTCTCCTTCGTTCCCTCAATAGAAACATTTCTACATTTTTTCTCATCCGTATCAAACTGCATAGAATCTGGATTCTCAAATAAAAAGACAAGTTTTCGGAGGGTAACCGGGGTTGTATTTGTAATTTACAAGGGAGCTACTATTTACAGTAATAAATTACAGATCGAGTAACAGGGCAGGAGAGGGATCACAGATGTTGGGGGACTGGAGCCCCCACTGAATATGACATGGAACCAGGGGTCCAAGGAGCCGCAGAAGAGGGTCCAGGGCTCAGGATCCGAGTGGAGGGTGGATGGACTCGAGTGGAGTCAGGAGTTGAATCACAGATTGAGGGGGTCGCAAAAGAGGTGGACCTCTTAGTGGACGACGACAGCGGGTCCGTGGTGGACGACTGGGACGACGGGGTGAGCGACGACGGGGTGAGCGACGACGGGGGCGGTCCTCACGACAGGGACGACGGGAGATCCGTGGACGACTGAGGAGCGGACAACGGAGTGGTGGACGACCGGGACAGTCTTGACGACGGGCACCACTGGGGCGGCGTGGACCACGGGAGCGGTGTGGACTACGGGCACTGGGTGGGCTACCACGGGGGCAACGTAGACGGGGGAGGGGGCGGCGGCGGCTACAGCGAGCACGGCGGCGAGGACGACCTGTAACAAGAGAGAAAGGGTGTCTTCGATTAATAAGAGTAAATATGATAAGATATTATTTACACACGTAAAAAGAAAAAGAATATCGAACGCGCACAAGAAAATAGTGCTAGACCATCAAAAATTTTTGGCCTGAAGAGGGAAGAAATTTCCGAAATGTACATAGTCTAGACTCAGAAATCACGGAAAACCGGAGGTAAAAATAAAATCCAGGTAATCCAAAAAAAAACAAACAAACAAACAAACAAACAAACAAGTAACATCCAGGTAATGAAAAAAATATCTTCTGAAGAAATAAGAAGATAGAAAGAGAAAAAAAGCTGCTTTAAAGCCCTCTCAGGGTTTGAACATTGATCCATTGAACCCAGTTTCCACCAAGGTTCTAAAATGTCATACAAGTTATTTCCAAAGCCATTTCAGGACCTGATAAATAAGATTTTGTATATGAGTTTTGAGTCGATTGTATCAAAGGGTAATACCGGAGTTGTACATTATTATAATGGATTGTGCTGCTAGGAGTTATGTTTACGCGGTTCATGAAGGTAACTTAAACTTTCATTTAACCTCATCTCTAAACAGACCAACATCTCTAAATATATATGTGTATACATAAAAAAACATAATATTTTTTGCACTTTCAGTGTGACAAAGGGTTTATTGCGGAAATATTCAATCTATTCTTAAGTACCATTAAGTAACTTTAGAGATTGTACATTTCAAAATTTCAACATTCTCAAAATTTAATTTTTGAGCTCTCAGTTTTGTCTGAGAAACGATCGTGTGAAATAAAAAGCAATGAGACCTTCCAACGCTGAAAAATTCGAGTTGTAGTATCTGCTCTCTGAACGACGCACAAGGTGATTTTTATATAATAGCGTAAGTTCATTTTGAGCTTGAAATACCGCGTTACAATATTTTATAGTACAGGTACTACCGTATATAGGAAATCCAAGTCTGAGGGCTTGGTGAGGGGGNCGGCGGACGAAGCAGGAATGAACTTTTGTGCTAGCCTAGAAATCTCGACCTCATTGGTTAGAGCGCGGATAAAGAAAGGAAGAGGGGGAAACACAAAAAAGCGGGCCGTTCAAAGAGACGAAACAGTGGTTACAGTGAGTAGGGCAAGATGGTCCCGTATAGCACAATGCATGCTCACGTTCACGACTGATTCAGCCATTATTGGCCGTAGAAGGCAACTTTCCCGAATTATTTATAATTCTACTAAACGCCTCTAATTGTGCTTAATTTCAAAGGAAGTTGTGAATATTTCTCCGCGATATCGTCCCTTCATGCAGATTGAATTGCGAATCAGATTTTCTGAAAGTGCTCACAAGCTCTCCTGCGAATTCGTATTTCAAAGGAAATTTGGAAACGCTGCAAGGCTCTACGGCAGTTTTCCTTAGAGCGGCAGCATTAACGACCATCTCCTACATTCTCAGCATCCTCTATCTATGACGGGATCAAGCTCTTAAAAGTCACGACCCAGTATCGCGATGAGATGCCGACGGTCTCGAGAGGGGAAGGGAGAGGGGATGAAGCTGGTGAAAAGCTGTCTGGTGATGTCGGGTTGGAAGTCTTCCGTCGTCCCCGTCTGAGAGGATGGGGGTGGTGTTGCGGGAGAAACGAGCAAGTGTAGTAATTAGAGGTAACATTTTCTTCTCGGCGGGGGATAAGCGAACATCGACGCTCGGTGGACTAAACACGACCCTCAGCGGCTCAAAATGAATAAACAAAGCAAAGTGAAAATTCCAACGGACCAGTCGTCCTCCTGTTGTGTAGTGGTTGTGGCGCTTGCCCTATGATCGGGAGGTCCCGGGTTCGACTCCCGGCCAGATGACCCGAGTTAAACGGTCTCAAACAGCGGTTACCTGGGCAGGATTGATTAGGGACAAAGGGGGATGGGATCTCTAAATTGATGGTGGAGGAAACCGTGGACCCATGATATGCTGCCGTTCTAAGGAAGAACGCTGTATGAACATTCGAGAGTTGCCGAATTTCCTTCGATAAAATGTTTATTTTTGAAGAAAATTGTTGATATTTTCCCTTGAAATTTTCAGAATTTTTAGATCAAATTACCTGAGAAATTAGAAGAAAAATATTCACAAATTTTCTTGAAAATCGGTGATTTGTCAAAGGAAATTTGGCAACGCTTGAAGGTTCATACTGCGTTTTTCCTTGGCACGGCAGTATAAGACCACACCACGATTGGTAACGTCACTCGCAAAGTTTTCAATCGAAAATCGGATGTCCAACCTGAAGGTATTATTTTTTGATACACACATACATAAATCCGCTTTTATAGCGCCGCCTCGCGTTCTGCAGCGCCCAATCGCCATTGCCCCCTATCCTCCCAGAGATCAGCAGGCAATTGGCACCTTCTGATCTCCTCCTCCACCCCTATTATTTTATTTTATATTTTATTTTCCCCCATTATTTTTTGATACTTTGAAAAATCACCCCTGAAAAGAGCTAGGCTTTATGATTTTCACGACTGACTCATGACGAGGTAGCAATCGAGCTTTTGCCTTGATCGACTTTTCATGCGTGGATGCGCCGAGGCCGAGCGTCCGACCTGATGTGTCGAGCGGGTTGCGTTCTCTGTGCGGCGGGCGGCGAGCGCGCGGCTTGGGCAAGGTCGCCTAAGGCTTTGATTGCACCGCGCCGCACGCATACGATCAATAGAACATTGGCCCGCTACACAAAGCAGCGTTGTCCATTTTCGCGTGAAAATCAACCGATCATAGGGAAAATTGCGAGGGATTTTCTTCGCTCTGGCAACGGCGGACACAAATGAGGGGCGCGTTCGTCCCGCGCGCCCGCCCCCACGAACCACCCCGTCCTCTGCCTCCCCCGCCCTCTCCACGTAACCCAATTCCGCCCGTCCACCCTCCGACCCATCCCCGAGTCCCGGGTATGTTTTACTCCAGCGTACTACGATCCACTACGAGCACGCCCCTTTCCTCGCAACTGATTTTTTTGACTTTGCGACGTGCGATCCGAGTTGCCACTTTCCTCCGTCGTCCCTTCTTCACGCCTCTCTTCGCCCGTTTTCCGCATCAGCTCGGATTAAGAGTTTCACGCAACATTTATCCACTTTACGTACCCCGCATGCGAGATCTCTATTCAGCAACTAAATTTAAAGCTTATATTATTATTACGTTTCCTTGTCAAGATATTACGGAGAAAGCTATCGGCACAATGAAAATTCAACTCACTAGAAACGTAGAAAGGTTTAGGTATCGTCTTGTCAAATTCTAATATCTCCGCAGGAGGGAAAAGAATATTCCTTCAGGGTAAATTTAAATATGTGTGAAATATTCCTAAGTGAAACCAAATACTTCTCAAGTGATATGCTACTCTGAGGAAAATATTATGGTTTGAGCGACAGTGATATGAGTATGGTACTCACCGACGGATTCTATGATTGCAAAGACCCTCCCTCTAATCGCATTCACCAAATCAAAAGTATGGGGAATACTACCAGATGTCTGTTGAATTTACCCTACAGTATCATTTGTCAAAAATCAAGTAGACTATTCAATATAATGCCAGAATTTACCGTACTTCTGGTAAAAATGTCCATACTTTTCAGTGTATAGAATGGAGTTTTTTCAGAGAGCTTATTTTTTTTATTTTAAAAAATCATTGTTTACCAATGAAGGAGTCAATCATTTCTCCGAGTTTTCTCAGAATTTGATTTCACAGGGAATTTCACAGAGAAGATAAGTCACAGAAGTTTTAAAGAATTGACGTTGAGTAGTTCTTCATTTAAGATATAAAGTATGATAGGAAGTCTGCTAAGTTGAAAACCGAGCTACGTCGCACAAAGGATCGAGTTTATAGGAAAGATCGGACAAAATTTGGAAACTTTAAACGCTTAAAACTCCGTTTATACAAGACTTTGAGGTTCTAGAAGTGGTTCTAATGGTTTTCTCGTGAGATTTTCTTCTATAGAGACACCGTTTGAAATTCAAATTGTGACGAAATAAACATCAAAATTTGCAGTTTTAGTCAAAACTGTCATGTCCGACCTCTCTGATTGACTAGATCCACTGTGCGTCGTTTGGGAGTCTCACCATCGATGGTGTCGCTTTATGGCCTCTCCTTACGCGCACTTTAGCACTCACGCACAGTATGATTGTTTCAATGAAAGAATGAGTCGATGAGTAAGGAAGTATCTTTCTTGCTTAATATTGGTTAATTAAAAATATTTAAGAATAAAATATACTGACAGATTGAAAGCAAGCTTAAAGAGAGTTATCAAGTCTTGCTATCATATCATTTTTCAAAGTTTTCATGACTTTTGAAATCTGTTAATGTTACTAACGTATAAACACATTAGAATGAGACAGAAATACATTAATGGCAGTGAAGCATGCGCATTAAAAAAAATAATTTATCGCAATTCAGATTTTTTAGGTTGTTCGCTTACATTACGATTTCTTTTTCCCCCTATATCTTTCTTTTCTCTTCAACTATACATTTTTGCAAATGTTGCTTGTATCAACAAAGATAAACGTAAAAGGTAGGTGGGCTTCCTTTATTTAAACAAAAATGAGTGTACCGTTTAACACGTTGCAAGTCCTTGTGCGCGTTTTGAAAATCACCCGACTTGGAAGAAAAGAGTGTTTTGTGAGAATAGATGAATAGTCTCATTCCAAATCATTTAAACGTCAGTATATATTTTTAAGAGCTTTCTGTTTTATTTTACTTTGTCACTATCTTAGAACAATTTAAGAAGAAACAAAGAAAAAATGTAAAAAGTCGCAAAATAGAACACGAAGATAGCAAAGACGGAGGCAGAATTCTTAAAGAGGAAAAAGGGAAAAAAACATAAGTACCCGTAATTGCCCGGTCTGGCAACCTGCGGCTTTGAACTTTTAAATATTTCACTTAGATATTTGAATTTTCCTTTAAATTTTCTATTTTTGGATTTGTAAATAACATAATTTATTTAAACAAAATTAAACAACCTTAAGTTTAACCGTAACTGCCGGCACTTAATTAGCTGGTAATATTAATTATTATCATAAATTACTCTAAATTCTAAAAGTTAATTTTTTTCGAATCCTTTTTTCTTTTTTAATCGAATCGTTGTCGATTTGAAGGCTATATTCAATCATTCAATTACTATCAACCGAGAAGAGCGTGATGAGATATTCACTCCCGTTAAATTGATTTCGGATCATTTTTTAAAATCTCATAATTTGCAATATTTCACTTATTTATCGTAGAAACTTCAGGATCTGATTAATGATTGAGGCGACGCACTGAGAAAATGAGATGGAGAAACTACATGCATGACTATAAACATAATACAAAGAAACACTTACGAATTTGTACATGGTGAAGGGTGGTTTTTGAAAAGGTTGGAGCACAAGAGACAAATAAGCTTCAAAAGCTGAGGAGATTTTAACGCTTGAGCAAGAAGATGAGAAGCTTATATAGGCGATGGAGTGCAGAGGCCCTGTGTCCCCCTCCAGTTGTGCCTCGTGGTTTGGGGAGTCGGGGAGACGCACAGACCTTCGGAGACCGGACCCAATCCTCAAGCACCTAAAGAGCATTCTCCATCTTCTATGTATCAGCCTGACATTGACCTTATATGCAACGGACACAACTCAGCGAGAAACGCATCTGCCTAAAAGGTAGTTTTATCATTTCATCGCTAATCCTCCATAGTCTCGGCTTGCCGCCGGTGACCCCAGTTACGCGCCCAATCTTCTCGACAGAACAACGCGCCAATCTGGCAGATGGATTTTGCTCAAATTAAAACCTCTCACTTTCGGTCTCTAACTTCTTTTCCCTCATGATCTTTATTTTGCAGTCAAAATTAAATGTAATTTTCACTTTTACACGTAAAGATACAAACTGTAGGTTCGTCTTATTAGTGCAAGTTATTTATTGTTTTTAGCTTCTACTCTTTAATTATCTAATCTAATAACCCCGTTCATCACTCATCTATCAATCCCAATATTTTTGTATGTGCGTTCCAGTTCGTGAGAAACCATCGGTTTGAAATTATCTGAAATATGTGTAACATCATTTCTAAAGTTGATCGATCACGATTCTAGGGAAAAATATCGCAACTAAAAGATCGGCGGAGAAAATGTCATGGCAATGACATTGTCGCGGGAACATTTAGTATCTCAATGTCAAATTATTGCCACGTGAAAATATCGCGAAAGTTATAAGGAAATGATAAACTGACTTGACTATACCTTACCTTACCTGGGTTACATAGCCTAACGCACCTACAGAGACCATCCCTCGTTTCCGTTAGGTATTCATTTTATTTAACGATATTTTCGGCCACGATATTTTGGCATTTCAATAATTCGTGGCTTTAATAATTTGCCCGACCAAATTTTGGTGGCGATAATTTGCCTGGGGACCATCAATTCCAATTGGACTGCATCAGCAAGAATCTCACGGAGCAAAAAGAGTCGTTGTTCTTATACTTGATGCCACAGTCCTCCTACTTTTCTGGTTGTAGTTACAATGTTAATGTTTATAGTAACAAATGGTTTGGAATCGGTAAAAATATGTTTCCGTCCCAAAATAATTGTCCCCAGAAAACTAACTTTGTAACTACGACTAGATAAATATGTGCACCTTGGATCTGGCATCATTAGAACTTTGTAAATGCGACGAATCTTTTTCTTCTTCGCAGCCATATATATGTGTCAAAAATTCCAAAATTTCCCTCCATGTTTTTTTCTTTTTCTTTTTTTTATAGGAAAGTTTAAAAGCAGCTTGGAAAATATCTTTAAATGTATCAAGAAAAGAAACTTAATGGGCAGTACATGCATTCAAAAAATATTGAGTTACAGCGTATGATATCTGTCAGATTTCCTTCGACAAAAAAAAGAGAGCATAAAAATTAAGAAAATGTAATACAACATTCAAAAGCAATCGAGCTGTTCTTGGATGATTCTCCCTGACTGATAATAATACTTAACAATGATTTAGGTTGAAGAGATTCCAGTCTCCTTGAAAGTAAAACTAGATACTTTGATGCCGCTGCATGAAAAATAATCTCAGTAGGAAATATAACGCACTTCTGTAAGATCCAGCTCATGAACCTAAAATTTTTAAACTGAAAAAGTCACATTAAATTTTAGAGAGGTATGGATTAATTTGTTCAAAAGAAAATATTTAAGTATCTTATGAAAACCTCTCCGTCGGCTTTCAAGTGCACAATTTTTTACTCGATGATTTGAAAATCCAAGTAGCCATATTAATGTCGATGTGTATGTATGTACACGTATACTATTGTGAGCTAACTGTATATGCCTGACGTGTTTTTGTGTTAGTGCTGCTTACATTGTTGTAAAACAAAACCTAATTTTTTCCAATTATTTTTAGCGTAGTAATTTTTTTTAAGAGATAAGATCTGTGTGGATTTTTGTGTAGTGCCGTACAATTTTTGAGCATAGTTTTCTTTTATTCTATATTTATTTAAAAGCACAGGGTATGGTTCTGATCCAACTCATCGTCAGAACATGAAATCTCAGACAAATTGAATTATTTTTGCTGTTGTTTGCTCTTTTGAGTAATTGTCTCTTTTAATTAGGTGATGTTGGTGATTGGCGCAGATATTGCTACCATAATGCATAAAAACATAGAACGTCAGGCGAAGGAACATGTTCCTGTATCCAAACTACATAACATAATCTATGGTCAAAGAAGAAAAATGCATATCTCCGATTGCGACTTTGCATTTTTGAACAAGTGAAGAAAAGTTACAGAAAAAATGAAGATACTCAAACTTTTTGTTAATTTAAAAAGTAAAATACCTAAGGCATCCCTGGACTTAAGACTTGGGAATGGAGAATGAAATACGCATAGTTGTAATTTATGTCGATCTCGTCTAGCGCAATATTATATCACCGTTCAACATATCGTAACAGAAGGGTATAAAAAGAGAATGATTAAATTTGCAGTATTTCACTTTAAATCAACGCTAAGCTCTTAAGTTTAACGGAAACTTGGCGACTGTGAGTACCAGGCGCCCGGCCAAAAATGCAGGCCCTGCGGCTGGAGAGCTTCTCGTGTCGCGCGCTTTTTTATGCCTCCTCTACACTTTCCTTATGGTTCTCTTCTTTTTATGCACGCTCCCCGAGACAAATTTGAGATGGCAATAAAGTCAATGACTTTGCTGTTGTTTATATCGGCGCCAAGCTTGAACTTAGAGCGCCTGAGAGATTACCAGGTACTAGGCAGCAGATACCACCTTTCCAAACATTGCGGATGTTTTGCTTAGAAACACACGTTTTTCTTCTTCTTTTTTTCTTTCATGACTCAAAATTCTCTAGAGACGTGATGAAATGATTAGTTACCCTGTTACGGAGTGGCAATATTACGTTAATTCTAATTTATCTGCAATTCAAAGCCGCGTCCTCAGTTCATAAACATGACAAAGGCGACCAAAAATGTCTTGTGTATTTGTTACAAGATTTTTCTGTAATTTTAAGTGTAAGATGCACGTCAAAATAGAGGACTCTCCTCTTGATTCATGAGCATATCATGCAAAGGATCTTATACATCATTATCTAATCCTCACAATAATAGTGTAGGGAAAAAAATCATTGGGGCACGTAAATCTTTTTTTTTTCTTAAAAATTGGTATATTTGAGCATTTTTTCATGTGCCTTGAAAGTTAAGTAAGCAACAGGGAGAATGAGGAGACCAATTTTCATTTTTTGGAATAAATATGGGAACTTAACTTTCAGACAGAAAAAAACCGTGGATGTGTAAAAAATGAATTTAAAAATTTTCCCACCGAGCTGTTGCTGCGTCTCGAGACCTTTTGACTTTTGAACGCTTCGAATTCGACCGACGAATTGGAGATGAGATCTGAGACGCTTGTTTGTCCACTTCACTGCGAAGCCTCTAAATCGTACTTTGATGTGGCCAAGTCTATAAACAGCTCTGGAAAAAGGGAACAATCTTCGGAAAACTACTTTTTTATTGGACGTCTCATAAAGTTCACTGCTTGTCCGTCACATAAAAGTTACCCGCGTGACTACTCGAATCGATCCCGTCGGCTATGCATGGGCTTTTCACATGGTTGCCATTTGGGAATCGCTTCTGATTTGTAGCCTGGAAGGTGAAGGGGGACCGTTCAAGTATAACGTAAGCTACTTTAGAGGGGCCGGCGTTGGGGGGTCCTAGCTTGTTTTATGGGGTCTTGCGATGGGGGAGGCGGGGCAAGCCAGTCTTACGTTTGCTTTCCACCTTTAAAAAAACGCAAGGAAAGTTTAAATATTTGAGACAGCGGTGAGTTAAATCCCGGAAAATAGATAATTGCCGAAATTTTGAATGCGATTTTTCAAAATAAAAACTTTTCAACTGCAAATAGAGATCCTCGGCAAAAAATAAGGACCTATACTGCCGTGCTGAGGAAGAACGCCGTATGAACATTCAAGAGTTGCCAAATTTCCTTTGATGAAACGTTTATTTTTGACGAAAATTATAAATATTTTTCCCTGAAATTTTCAGGTACTTTGGATCAATGCGAACAAAATTCTCTTAAAAATTGGAAGAAAAATATTCATAAATTTACGAGGAAATTCGCGTTTTATAAAAGGAAATTTGGCGACGCCTGAAGGTTCATACGGCGTTTTTCCTTAGCACGGCAGTATGTCCATTTGTCTTGACGATACTCAAGAAAAGTAAAAACGACAACAGAGCGAGCCCAGACCTTGACTCGTGAGCTGCCCGGTTAACTCCTGTTCCTTCAGGCTTATTTTCGTTCTTCTTCGTTTCCCTTTTCTTCTCCTTCGATTCTTCTTCTTATTCCTCTTTTTCGGTGTTTCATCCGTCATATTCTGATGCTCGTGATTAATGGTTAATTAATACTCATGTTTTTGCCTCTTGTCAAATAAGACTGCAAAACCGGGTACGCAGGTGATACACACAAAAGCCGTGTGGCCTTGCACCATAAACACTCGTTTGACACAGCTCCCGAGTTTCCGTCTTGTAAATTGTAATCCAACAAAATGCGAACACACGCCTTGTTGCCTTGTGAGACGTGAAACCTGTAATTAGCCTCTATAGCTCCTACTCCGAGGACATTCAACGGACTTAGTTTGAAATTCGGTGGCTCCATGGGAGAATGCAAAAGACTGAGGACCAATCAGGGACCAGCAACTGGGTTTCAGGTAACACAGGGTCGTATTTTGATGGCCGAGTCTTAAGGGCCACAAACGGCTAATATTGACGGAAATGATTTACATATTTAGGAGAAAAGTAGAAGGGCTTGGAGTCAAAGGCGCATAAGTGCAGTTGGTGCTATTTCGAGAATAACGTGTTTAGAGTTTCGAAATTACATGGATCCTTATGGTGGGAAGAAAGTTCAAACTGACTTTTTGGAGCTTAAAAATCGGAATTTGGGAGCGAAATTTTCACACTTGATGCGTTAAGACTATAGTTTTACTTCAGAACATTAATTTCTTAATTTCTAAAAAACTGCTTTAATGCGCCTTGCCCTCCGAGCCCCTCAGTTTATGTTGTCACATTTGATAAGCCATCAGCTCTACAATTTTTAGTGATTACATCAAGTTCACATCGGCAGAAC